CTCAAAAACAGAAACAATACCAACAGAAGAAAAATGCACCCGTCTACCAAGGCTATTTACTATTATTCCTAGTGTGTGTGTTCTCGTATGCACACCAGTTTACAGGCATTTGTAGATTTAGATAAAGGCCTAGGAGACAGTCTAGTTCCTTCGAGCGCCACGTGGTTGCTTGCGAACGCCAGCCGGGGTTGATGCGTTGGTCGGCAGTGAAGTATTGTATCTTGAGGCAAACGCGCGTTTTCCAAATCAATGGAAGGCCAACTGCAAGCGGGGACGGTCTGAGTGACATTGCAAGTTCTGATCGCGCCGCTCCGCCGCACTTACATGCGGAAGTCATGCGTCGAATCCTAGTGCTGGTCGCGGTCTTGGGGATCAGCACGGCAGTCCATGGGTTCATCATCAAACCTTTGTGGCGTTCAAGAAGGGCGAGCCTCCAAAGCGGGATGGCAGCTCGAATGCAGGTCGGTTGCTGGAGCGCTGACAGTCCCGCGTCACCGGCGGAGGCAGACACCAAGCTGCTACATAGCTGATTACTGGGGGCATACTGAACGTCCATGCCTGCTGTTGAAGTACCATTTATTTGGTTCTGGTAGCCGGTCCTACCACCATTTGCACACTCTCTGCTAATCACGAGCGAACATATATCAAACGCAGAAGTTGCACTTACCAAGAGTCCCAGAGGCACAGAGCAGTAGTAGTACAAATACAAAAGCAGTCCGGGTTGATCCGCAAGAAAACCGACGGTTTGATTGGATGATTGGGTGACATGGCGAAAGGCCAACGTAACGGATAAGGCTTGGGCGGGGGCTACCAGTAAACACGTTTTGTCTCGCGGATTTATCTGGTCTTGTATGTGTTACATGATGTCGATCTACAGAGTAGTATCCGCTTTCTGGACTCGTAGATGTATAGCAGTATATCTGTGCATCGTCGGGAAGCTGCGCTTGCCTTGACATGATTGTACAGGATCAGGATCAGTGTCAAGGAACCGCCCATTGCAGCCGCCTGCGTGCCACGATGTAGTAGGTATGACTCGATACCTGTACAGACCATGTGTGACAAACTGCCCCGCTTTCGGAACATCTACAACTTGAACTACACTGCAAACGCCTCGTGCCTTGATTGCACCAGCAGGGGGGTATGGAGCATGTCCTGTTCGTGGAGCTCGGTTTTGGCAATGACCAACATGGACAAAATGCCACCAAGGCCTGCGTCAGGTGCTGGTGTACCCAAGACAGATCGCTTCGGCTTCCTAATTTGTTTCCCCACTTGTAGAAACATAGCCGAGGAAGTTGAGATGGCAAACAAGTACGAAAGTGTCGCCTTGCCAGTAAAAGATGGCCGGTGAACGTATGCATCATATTACAGGAGACTATTGTAGTAATGAAAGAATTCAACGAAAGGGGGGCCTACAGTAGAATGAAATGGGAACTTCGTAGGGAAACATGGCAAGGAAGGAGAGGGAGCCACAGACGTACTGAATACCGTTTTCTGGGAAACATAGGGGACAGATCCTTCGGCAATGGAATGAGCGGAGGAAGATTTATGTTTCCTAGGAAGGAGCAGCCATCCGATCGCCACGTCAACAGCCCTATGGATCGGATGCTGAGGACGGAATCATTCGCCACCATTTCCCAATGCTAGACAGTTGGCGAGTAATTGTGTGGTCGGCCCGGCCCCTCTCTGCTCTCGATATTTACCGTAGTACAATCGCACCCCTTCTGTTTGTACCGTACCGTAAGGGCGTGCCGGAACGCGATAGAGTTCAACTCGATCCCTTCCATCAAGAACATCGTTCCGGGTGGCTACGCCGGCATGAAGCTCCGTGTGCAACTGGCCGTCCCGGTGGCAGAGGTAAATACGTATTAAAGTCTATTCGAACAGCTACAGTAGTATTTTACACGTCTTCCGTAGCCATCGGTTTAGGGCTTGTGCCGTCGGAGATGATACGGACAAAGAGATGAATCACGGAACACGCATGCAGTTTGTGCATTCCAATTGCATCTCTCCAGGGGTTGTTTGAAGGGCGGCGAAACTATGTAGACTAGTTCTGTGCGCATGCTGGTGCCGTCGATTTTCAGAAGACAGTCCTGAGACTTCCAGCTCTTTTCGAGGTCATTTTCTGTCGCTTTTGGTCAGAAATCCGACCACTGCTAATGGGTTGTTCAGAACAACTTCAAACAGGACACAAGCGTGATTTGTTGCCATGGACACATGAATGATTCTCGCCTCCTCAATGCTGCGTATGCGTACGTGGTAAACTGGCCACACCGCATCCACAGGAGGAGGTGGATGTCAAAGAAATCGAGAAAGTTTTCCCATATGGGGAGCTCTTGCCAATAGAGTTTCAGTCCGGAGGAATGCGAGCTTCCAGCGGCATCGCTTTGCCAGAGATGGGAGGTGGGTCGGAGACTAGGTGCCGGCTGCTTGATGAGCTGGCCGCTTGCAGATTGTCAAAACAGGCGGCAGTTGAGGAGGGGGTCATGGATGACAGCGAGTGGTCGAGCGTAAACGGTCTGAAGACAAACAATCTGCAAGAGGAGAGGATAGGATAGGCCTTCGGCGTGTTGTAGTTCGGCCGTTGGAACATAGTCCAAGGTAGATAGGTGATACGTATGTAGGGGTACATGAAAAGCTACCAACATAGCAAGCTATTGACTCATCCTCCCACCCACCGTTTCATGCTCTGATCCGCCATCACATCATACTTGTTTTCAGACACGAATGACGACATGATCGTTGCCATCAGCTGTGTCACCGTGGGGTACTGACACGCTTTGGTCTACACTTTACGCCCAAGACGCTACGGTGCAACATTTGCGCTTGTGTTTGGTTGTAGCAAGAGGTTGGGGTGGGTGGGTATTGTAAGTTTATTGCGCGGTCGAGGTTTTGATGTACATATGGGATCCCTTAGACACCATCATGGATCTGGGATCGCTTAGACCATGATGGTATTGTATCACCGATTACGAGTGAGATCTGTTGCCAAGCCCGGTGATTGATGAACTATAGATGGTGTTCGGGGGACAAACATACGTCTTAGGATGGCTGGAAGGTTGTTGTTGCTTTTGCATGCGGGGGGTGGGACCGATTCGGTCAGTCGACTTGCCTGACCCAGGGCACAACAGCAATATCAACGTACTTTTAACCTACGGCCCCGCTTTTGCACTCGGGCGTTTAGACAGCATGGCTCACCACAGCGCCATCGTTGTTTATTTTCATCTGACAAGATTCTAGGCGTCGAAGAACAAAGGAACCACCGCAGCTTGTTCATAGCGCAAACCCCACAACGTGTAGACTATGCCGCCAGGTTGAGGTATTTGAGGCATCGTCGCGGAAGCAGGTGTTGCGATTGCTCTGTGCACCCGGATCTTAACCCCATAGAACTGGTGCATGCTTCGCACTTGTTTCGTTGAGCAACAGCTGCCTGCGATCGCCTTGCGTTCATTGTCACAAGTGATTAAGTGGACACATCATTCGCAGGTGAGACAAGACTGCTGTGCATGGGGGCGGGAAGTGGTTGGCACGGCGTGGCGTGCAAGTGGTCGAATAAGTTAAGCTTGAAAACAGAAAACAGACGTGGGCTTTCGACAAGGAGTGGGTCTTCCGCGCAGTAACTGAGCACACCGTGTACGTGCCGGCGGCATTTCTCTGTAGTGGGCAATGGTACTCCATTGTTACGACACCGCGAACAAGATGTGCTCGAACGTGGGGCCCAAGGGCACCAAGCAGCCTCACAACCCTTGCAGTAAAATGGAGAAGATGCCACTAAGCAGTCTCAGGACAACTGCTGTAGTGAAAACGGATACAAGCTTGATTGAGAAGAGGGTAGTGATGCCTTGTTGTTTAGCTTCTCAAGTCGAAGTCGCGAACGCTTTGCTAGAAGTGCTCCGTCACGATAAAGTAGCTCTTGTTGCAGCGTACGAATCTTCCAACGGGATATCTCAAGAAAAAAACAATGCCTTGCTTTCTCTCTCCTGCAACAGAACAATAGCCCGCTGCACAAAGCACGCATGACCGCCTTCGCCGAAAGCAGGCAGCGCCCGCCCTAACAGCGCGAGCCGAAAAAACAACCAATATAATGCCAGGGTCAGCACCGCAAGCGATAGTGCCGATGGTGATAGTCGGCAGCGTTGCCGGCTCAGCATATAAATGTGGTACGCACGCCGTTCCACTCGAAACACCTGCTTTGAAGGACGGGTCATTCCGATCACTTTCCGGCGGCCAGCTGTGCGCTGGCAGTGTCTTGGGCGACCTGTATGCACACAACGGGCAATCGCGAGGGGGGGGTGTACTCATAGTCATGCATGCCGTAGTCGTTAGACCATTGACCTCGCATCCCTTCCAAGCCGGGACGGAGCACGCAGGGTTCTCACCGGACCAGGCTCTCACATCACCAAGCGCGAAGCGCCGTGAGATATTGGGCGAGTCGCACGAAGGGTGCGCTGCATCCTGCTAAGGGTGTTCGGCATCTTGCGCTTACTTACTTGCGTACGACGAAGGGGGAGGGTGAAGGAGGACCGACAGTTGAGATGGCATACACGTGCAGGATAGGGTAATGAAGACATGATGACATCCCCTGCCCGTCCAGATCTTAATAGTTGTCGCCCTCGTCCCTGGCATGCTGGCTTCAACTGCGGTCCTCGCTCTCTGCTCGCGGTCGACCTTTTCAATCTCGATTGGACTCTTACACTGCTGTGGTACGACCAACACGTCCCTCTTGTCGCTATGCCACGGAGAATCGTCTATGGACGCGGAATGGTCTTGGCAACGTGACTCCCCGCACCGATAACGTAAGGAGGGTATCAACTCCTTGGAACACTAGTAACTTATGTGCCATGGCACTACAAAGCCAGGCGTTCCCTACCATCAAGCTACCAGGTATCAGCCTCCACACAGATGTTTGATAGAGATGTATCACCGACATCCCCTTACGGTGCTCTACTACCGCAAGAAGCGGACTACACCCGTGTTGTGGAAGGATACGGCAATGCTGTAGACTACTGGTACAACACTTGGTTCCGGCATTTTCTGACCTGGCCGCGTCTAATAGCAGTCAGGGCATCGGCGTGCCTCAGCTGCTCCGCCAGGCGGCCCTCTTCCTCCTGCCTGGCCCGCTCCTTGTCCCTCTCCTGCTGCCTCTCGTCGATCTCGTTCACCAGCACCTGAGCAAGGGCAGGCCACACCAAAAACATCGAGGAAAAAAACAAGCCGTCGCGACTCAACTCAACAGTAGGCCGTATTGGAGCAGGAGACCCTCTCGCCCAGAAATGGTACAATGAAACATATGCGAGTAGAAAATCTTTCTTCCAATACTTTGATTCGTTGTCTTCAATGGCTGGTCAGAATCGTTTTTACCCCTGACCCGCCTTCACCGCCATAGACGGACTGCAGTCGCGTTCGAAACCTGGACAGGCGGCGGGGGGCCCAACATGTAGGTCCTGGGGGGGG